CTGGAGGAGGAATTCTGGGAGTTGAAGTCCACAAGCCTTAAAGCTGTCAAGCTTGAAGACGCCTGTGCTCAGCATTTGAATCCCCCCCCCCTCCTCTTTTGCAGTGCTGGATGGTTCGCTCTTGAAATCAGAAGAACGGCAGAGACTCGCCCGGGAACGTCGCGAAGAGCGGGAGAAACAGCATGGTACGGTCCTACTCAGCCAAGCTTCTGCACGCCAAGGTTTTTAAACACAGGGTGACGTGACCGAAATTCAGCCGCTTGGCCGCCGGCTCACCTTGTTCCCCCCCCTTTTGCGACCTTCTGACAAAGTCAGCAACAACTGCAGTGATTCGCTTAGCAAATGTGGCAAGAAAGGTCATAAAAACGGGGTGGAACTCGCTGTCTCACTTAGCAACGGAGGTTTTGGGCTGGACTGTCAATATCTGATGCCTGCCTTTTGGGGCAGCTGATGGACCCTGAACTGAAGAGCTGCCTTGAGAATCCCCACCGTGGGTGGGAATGGGTTCCTTCCTCTCCCTTAACAGATGCCTCACTTAGCAACAGAAATTCGGGGCTCCGTTATGGTTGCACGCGGAGGGTTACCTGTGTTCAGTTGTGCAAGATGTATGGTTGTAGCAGCTGGTGCAGGGATGGGCTTTCTGTGACGTATTTCGATTGGCAAGCGTTGCCTTCCTGTCTCCAGCTTCCTAAGATGGTTTGTTAAAAACCTTGCACACACATGTGCGGATGTGCAAACACAGTTTTAAATGACGCCGTTTATTTGGCAAAAAGCGCCTTTAATCCAAGTTCTGCATTGCTCGGTGCATTCCGCCTTTCGCATTTTCCAAACTTTTTTAATGCCTTGTTAAAGCTAAGAACCAGCACGGCGTGAAGTAGCGAACCGGAAGAATAGTTTTATTCTGATATCGATATCGGAGAAGTTGCAAATTAAGGGATCTCGGGCTGAGAAAGGCCCCTTTCATCCCTCATTGGAAGATAGGGAAGACCCAACCAGAGAGCATCATCAGCGCTTAGAACGGGGTGGGAGGAAGAGGAGGAGGAGGAAGGCTCCTTGGTGCTGTCTGAATTTTCTTGCAGACATTTCATGACCCAGCTAGGTAACATCATCAGTGCTACAAGCGGGCGGGACTTGATACAAAGAATTGAGGCTTTGTTTTTCAACAGCGGGTTGGTGATTGTTCCCGTCGCAAAGAGGAGCTTTCAAAGCACACTTTGTCTCCTCAAAAGGCTGACACTCCAGACCTAGGGCCGCGTGGAGCTTTGCCTGATCACATGGTCCCTATCATGTGCAGAGTGCTCTTCCCAGGTTGCCCAGTTCCAGATGCCAGCAACAAATTTCTTCCCTTTCCAGAGGCAGATTTGGGACTAAACTCTTGTGCTTAAGCCGGTCCGTTGTTGTTTTTTAAACTTCTTAAAAAGAAACCTCTTGAAATATATATATATTTTCCCCTCCCGTCCTGGATCCTAGCTGGAGGGCGAGCAGGAGGAATGGGGCAACGCAAACGGTCCCAGGAGGCTCTTTGTGAGCTAGTCTTCCCCGTTCCTTTGGTCCTTGGGACCGAGTTCTAAAAATGGTCTCCGGCCACATTAGCAGAGAATTTAGGGGGGGAAAAAACAATTGCACCCCCTTCTGGAAAATCCCAGGTTGAGCTGAGCTGAGATAGTAATAAACACCCATGTCTGGAGTCTTCTCTGCTGTTGTGTCAGATGAATCAGAATAGAGCTGGAAGGGACCTTGGGGGTCATCTATTCCAACCCCCTGCTCAAGCAGGAGACCCTGTTTCTGACAGATGGTTATCCAGTTTCTTCTTTCAAAACCCCCCCTGTGATGAAGCGACTTCAACTTCTGAAGTTTTCCGATTCCCTAACCTGCAGCCCGGGTAGCTAATTCTTTGCAGCCAAGCAGCCCTCTGTGATACTTGGAGGTCCCTGGGAGGTTAACCAAAGGCTGAGGCTGCCAGAGGCCCCAAATAATTCCGTTCAGGGGTTTAATCCCCCTCCCCTGAAGGAGGGTCGGTTTGTGAGACCAGATCCAGACGGGTTGGGTTCCTGCTTCCTCAGTTCTGCACCTCTCCATTCCACGCAGAAAAGCTGCTTTCCTTCCCATCGCTCTGCAAAGAGAGGCGCTTAGCAGGACTTGGAGGTTTTGACTTGTAGTCAGAATGCATCATTGGCATAAAATGAGGTGCTAGATGCTTCCTCTTTGCTCTGTTTTTCCTTGACCTCAAGCAGATCAGGTGGATTCTGGCAAGGCTTGGCTCCAGATGGAGGTGGTTGAACATAACAAAATCTGATCCGTGTGACATTCTCTCTCTCTCTCTCTCTCGCTCCCTCTCTGTCTTTCTGTCTCTCCCTATCTCTTTCTCTTTCTGTCTATTTCTGTGTGCGCCTCTTTCTCTCTCTCTCTCTTTCTCTCTCCCTCTCTGTCTTGTCTCTTTCTGTGTCTGTCTCTTTCTCTCTGTCTCTTTCTCTCTTTCTCTTTCTCTCTGTGTGTGTCTCTTTCTCTCTCTCTCTCTCTCTCTCTCTCTCCCTATCTCTTTCTCTTTCCGTTTATTTCTGTGTGTACCTCTTTCTCTTTCTCCCTCCCTCTCCCTCTCTGTCTCTGTCTCTGTCTTGTCTCTTTCTCTCTGTCTCTTTCTCTCTCTTTCTCTCTGTGTGTGTGTCTCTCTCTGTCTCTCCCTATCTCTCTCTGTCTCTCCCTATCTCTTTCTGTTTATTTCTGTGTGTAT